GGAGGAGGAGGAGGAGGATGGAAGTGGTGATTCAGAAGAATTGTCAGGGTTAGTTGGCGGCGGAGAGGAGGAGGAAGAGGCAGGCGGGGGGACGATGTTTGGTGCCGTTCGAGAGGCGCAGTTAATCCGAAGATGTCCAACAAGTCCGATTCGAGCCCGGAATGTCCGTTGACATCGAGGACACGTTGGAACCGGTTGTGCGGCGGCGTTGCGTACTGGGCGAAGTTGTGATTTGCGGGCTTCACGTTTCGCTTTGGCGGCAGCGATGCGGTTGGCTTCGTAGATCGCAGCGCCTGTCTTCACTGTCCTCCTCCAGGTCGGTCGATCGAGTGCGAGCTCCTCCCAGTTTGTCGATATGATTTGCAGGCATTTCAGGGAGGACTTCAGGGTATCCTTGTAACGACGAATCTGGCCTCCTTGACGACGAGAACCCGTCGCGACGTCGCCGTAGAAGAGTCGTTTGGGTAGTCGCTCATCGTCCATGCGCACCAGGTGGCCGCTCCAGCGCAGATGAATTTGCCTCAGTATGGCGTAGATGCTGAGGATTCCCGTCCGTTCCAGCACATCAGTGTCGGGGATTCGATCCTGCCACTTTAGCCTCAGGATGCGACGAAGACAACTGAGGTGGAAGTGGTTCAGACGACGTGCCTGCTTTGCGTACACCGTCCAAGTCTCCGCTCCATACAGTAGTGTCGGCAGGATGACGGCCTTGTACATCTTCAGCTTCGTGCTCAGCTGAAGACCGTGGCGATTCAAAACTGTGCTTTGAAGGCGACCGAAGGCTTGACTGGCTTTCGAGATCCTGTTGGCGACTTCGTCGTCGATCTTGGTGTTGCGGGAGAGAGTACTGCCCAGGTACGGGAAGTTCTCCACCACTTGCAGGTGGGTCCCATTCACGCTGATTTGCGGCGGCGCGTTGGGAGCTGTGGCTGAGTTGGGTGGCGGTTGGTGCATCACCACCGTCTTCTGCGTGTTAATGACCAGACCGAAGTTCTCGCAGGCGGCGGAGAACAGGTCCATGCTCCGTTGCATCTCCTCTTCCGAGGTGGTGTTCAGGGCGCAGTCGTCGGCAAAGAGGAGTTCGTGAACGGCGGTTGTGGAAACGCGCGATTGGAAGTGCATACGCCGTTGATTCAGCAGGTGACCGTCCGTCCTGTTGGCGATGCGGATCCCGGGGCGTTCATCGCGGTAGGCGTCCGTCAGCATGGCAGAGAACATAAGACTGAAGAAGGTAGGCGCCAGTACGCAGCCCTGCTTCACTCCATTGGTCACTGCGAATGCCTCTGAGACAGCTCCGTTGTCCGTGACTCGCGCCATCATACCGTCGTGCAGCTGACGCACCATCTGAGTGAATCGCTCCGGACAGCCGAATTTCTGCATGATCTTCCACAGTCCTTCACGATTCACCGTGTCGGAGGCTTTCGTCAGGTCCACGAAGGTAGAGTACAGGTGGGTCCGCATCTCCTGACACTTCTCCTGAAGTTGACGGGCGGCGAAGATCATATCCGTGGTCCCACGACGACGACGGAAGCCGCATTGGCTTTCCGGCAGAAGGCCCTGTTCCAGATAGTTAGTGAGGCGGTTGAGAAGGATGCGGGCGAAGATCTTCCCGGCGATGTTCAGCAGGGAGATGTCGCGGTGATTGTCGCAGACTTAGCGATTCCCTTTGCGCTTGTAGAGATGCACAATGGTTGCGTCTTTGAAATCTTGCGGGACTTCACCTTGACGCCACATCTCTTGGAAGAGCGCAGTTAGGTGATCCATTAGTTGGGGACCTCCGTGCTTGTAGACCTCAGCAGGGTTTGCGTCCGATCCGGGTGCTTTCCCGCTGGAGAGCTGCTGCACGGCCCTGATGGTCTCCTGGAGAGATGGCGGGAGGTCGGGGTCCACGTTGGTCTCCACTTGCGGCAAACGCTCGATGGCGGCGTCGGAGATGACGGAGGGGCGGTTGAGGACGCCTCGGAAATGCTCGGCCCATCGCTGCAGGATTTGCGTCTTCTCGGTCAGGAGAGTGTTGCCGTCGGCGCTGAGGAGAGAAGCAGTGCCCTTCGTCGCCGGACAGTAGACGGATTTGATCGCAGAGAAGTTCTTCCATTCGTTGCGGTCAGCGTACCCTTGGATCTCCTCAGCTTTGCGAGCGGTCCAGGCGTCCTGCATCTCGCGCAGTCGTTGCTGAAGTTGGCGGCGACTATGGTAGAAGGCAGCTTTGGTGGCATCAGTGGGGTGATCTACGTAGGCTTTGTGTAGGCGGTTCTTCTCGGCAAGCAGATTTCTGATGGCGGCGTCGATGTCGTCGAACCAGTCCTGGTGTTGGCGGGGAGCGCGACCGAGGACGGCGAGCGCCGTCGACTGGACCGTGTCTCGCAGTTGACACCAGCGGTTCTCCACGAAGGCGTTCTCGGCAGCGGCGGCGTCGGCAGCGATAGGAAGGTTGTCTAGCCGTTGAGCTAGCTCATTGCTGAAATGAAGACGGTGAGCGGGCAAAGACAACAAGGCTACATTCAGCTTACCTCGGGGTCGCTCACCTTGTAGTCTCCTGCGAGGCTGTAGGCGAATACGCATCTTCGAGATGACGAGGCGATGGTCAGTCCACCCGTCAGCACCCGCGATCGCTTTCGTCACCAGCACGTCCCGCTGATCTCGCCTCCGGACGAGGACATAGTCCAGCAGGTGCCACTGGCGCGATCGAGGATGCCTCCAGGTGGCCTTCTCTCGCTCCGGCAGACAGAAGAAAGTGTTCGTCAGGATGAGGCGGTGTTCTGCGCAGGTGCGGAGAAGCAGCAGACCATTGTCGTTTGAGCCGCGGAGACCATGGGGACTCAGCACTCCTCTCCAGGCGGTATGGTCTGTGCCGACGCGGGCGTTGAAGTCACCAAGGACAATCAACTTGTCCGCCTTCGACACAGTCGCCAAGAGGGAGTGCAGGTCCTCGCAGAATTTGTCTCTGACGGCGTCGGGGTTGGTCATCGTCGGAGCGTAGGCGCTGATGATGGTGACGAATTTGCCTCCCCAGAGAGGCAGGCGGAGGCTCATCAGGCGATCGTTGATGCCCTGCGGCAAACAGGGCAGTCGTCCCACGATGTCGTTCCGAATGGCGAAGGCGACACCCGCGTCCCGTCGCTCTGCCCTGGGTCGACCACTCCAGAAGAAGGTGTAGCAGGCACCCACCTCCTCCAGTTGGCCTTGTTCGGAGAATCGGGTCTCGCTGAGTGCGGCGATGTCCACCTTGTAGAGCGCCAGTTCTCGTGCCAATAGCGCCGTCCTCCGTTCCGGTCGGTTGCTCCTCGGATTGTCTAAAAGGGAACGAAAATTCCAGGCTGCCAGAGTGAGCGGGCTCACCCTGCCAGTCTGGTGACAGCGAGTGGGGCGACGGGAAGGAGATTGAGAAGAAGGTGACGAAGGAGAAGAATAGGCAGCAGGATAGGCAGAGGAAGAGGAAGAAGAGGTAGGATGAGGAGAATGAGTATGTTTGTTGTTGTTGTTGTTGTTGTTGTTGTTATTATTGGTATTGTTGTTGTTTTGATTTTGATTGTTTCGACCATGATTAGACGTCTGCGGCCCTGGCTAGCCTGGAGACGGCGTGGTACCCAGCAATGTTTAGGTCACCTTTTCTAGGCCATTCCCCTCGTGGGGGCTGGCAGTGCCATCCCTGAATAGGGCTGCCATGTGCCGTTGTGGCACGGCCGAACTCCACTATGGGACCACGACTTCGGGTTGTAGTGGAGAGCGACTCGAATTCGCCGTAAGCCGCGGTCTCCGACGCCGTAGGTGGGCGCGTCAAGGCAATGTCGATGTGGAGATTCATCCCGTCACCGGCTGTCCAGCGGCGTGCAGAGACGAACCACGTCACGACGGTGCCGACGCAAGGTTCCATCCGACCTTCCATCCAGCGGAATCCGCAAACCCTGTGCACACGGCACAGCGCACAGGGCCCCCTCACCTGGTTTAGCCCGCCGGTCGAGACGGTTGCCCGGGGTGTGGCCGCTGAGCAGAGTTCAGCTACGTGGAGCCACAGGTGAGGGTTGAGTGTCAGCAAGTGGACGCTAGGCGCAGCCTCACCTGCAAGTAAGTGAGCGACCACCACGACCATTACGTGAACCCACCGCTGACACCCCTACACCCCGGTGAATCGATACAGACATGAACACATCACCACACATTCCGCAACAACATAAACATCTCTGATAGGAGGTGCTCACCGATCGATCTTACGGAACTCATTCGTTTCGTTGTGCCTTATGGGCCCTCACTCGAGCCCAACCAGCAGCCCCACAGAGGCAAATGACATAGGCAGAATGTTATGGTCGACAAAGACAAGGGAGACTGGAATGGCCTAAATTTCACAGTCGGAGGCAAAAACAGTTAAGACCGAGGACAGAGAAAATTGACTGGGAACACTCAGAGGAACCCCAAACTCCGCCTTCAGGTCTCAGTAGTTCCGCACCACTAACGACTAAGGAATATACCCTACAAAACGACATGCTGGATTTCAGTTATTCTGCCCATTGAATGACGCACGTGATGTGCATCCGGTGGTTGACGTCGTAAACCACTATTTCGTGAAACATTTCTTGATTGAGTTAATTTTTGGATTTCAAACACTCACTCACCAAACAACATTACATCACCCATAATTACTATTTACTGCGTTTCCATTTTGCAAATACTTCCCTGTGGTCAGGCAACTGCAGTTATTATTTGCAAGTACTTCTGACAGTAGACTTTTCTAGTCATGGTCATGTAGAAAGGTTCATCCTCCGTAAACACGCTATTCTTCATCTTCCCACCTTT